GAATTGTCATTCATGCTTAAATTTGACACTTTATGTCTGGGTTTAAACAAAAACTTTAATTATCTCACCCATTACAAAGATAGCTTCCCCAGTTATCACCCCTAGACTGTGTCCAGACTCACCTGCGTATAGACTACAGCCGCGTTCTTTCAAAATTAAATCGAAAGAATGTGGCTTTTCTTTTGGCGGTGGAAAACCTCATTTCACGAGGAAGAACACCTTTTTTCGAAAGTGCTCTTTCGAAAAAAGGCGTTCTTGAATGCAAACAGGGCTTTTTCGAAAGAGAGCATCCAGACTGCCTGGGTGCTTTCTTTCGAAAAAGCGGCTTGCTTTTTCGAAAGTACTGCTGCAGTCTAGACGCTCTTGTTCGAAAGAGGCTTTTTCTAAAGTCCTTTCGAAAAAGCCTCTTTCGAAAGAGGCTTGCAGTCTAGATGTAGCCCTAATGTCATTACCTCACAGAAACTTCCCCTATTATCACCCCTATATCATTACCTCACAGACACTAACCTTCCCCCCTCACCTCCACTCTGTTCTAAAATTTGATTTGTCAATTTCACATGCGTTCATTTTTTTGATTGTATCACTTTGGTATATAAGGTTGTGCTGATTTTCTTCCATATATTGATCTGAGGAAGTGGGTCTGGCCCACGAAAGCTCATCACCTAATAAACCATCTTGTTAGTCTTTAAAGTGCTACATACTTCTGTCTTTTGTTTCAGCTAGACCAGACTAACACAGCTGCATCTCTATCACTATGTAACATCTTCATTGTATCTTATCAAACACTAGGAATGCTTTATCCATTGTAACAGCCTGTTATGATTTTGGTACTAGGATTTTTTATTGTAATTAGCAGAACAGTTTAGTATAATGTTCAGATTTCTAATGTTTAAAAAACTGGAGGAATATGGACAAAAATTCTGAGGGTTGAGCTACTCCAAATGGGAAGCAAAGAGTGGACATTTTCAAACCTCGGGACTTTGAATGTTGTTTTGACAGAACTACATGAGCTTCATTATTTAAAATAAAATATATCTTTGTTTGCCCTTCTGGTGGGAAAGCTGGACAGAAACTAGTACTACAGATATGGAGAAAGTTGAAAGTTGTGATGTTGAAAGAAACCTCATTTATCATGTGATGTAATAATGGAAAATCTAAGTTCTGGTTTGGGGAAGGGTTGGAGTTTGTACTTCAGCTATAAACATTTTCTCCAAACTGAAACGTGGCATACAAAGTCTCAGTACAGAAGGATCTCGTCTTTTATTTTTTAAAAATTATGACTGAATTTGAAAGTAAATACTTAATTGTTCTGTAAGTTGTAATAAAACCTCCATCAGAAGTCAGGTTCCTTCCTCTCTCCTAATACTCAAACTGAATACTCATCATTTCACTTTTGTTTAAGATGGAAATTGTTTGTCTTTAGTGAACAACCTATACTAATATTTACTATATAACCTAAACTAATCTTTCAATATTCTGGAACAAAATAATATCAACAGATTGGGCATATTTTGTTTTTCTAACCGAGAAACAACAAATGCATGTGAACAAAAACTTTAAACTTAAGATTTCATGGTATTTTTGTCCATGTCTCCTTAGGACATAATCCTGCCTTCTGAGACATCTACGCGTAATATAAGCCAAGTCTCTAAAAGTAAACTTTGGACTTGGTAGGGAAGTGCTCTCCTCACTGCGGAGCTGAACTGTTACAATTTGCACTGGTGGAAGAGCCAGGGTGTATTAAGACACTAACCCTGTAATTTCCTCTTTAGATGTACAGGGGCAGCAGGAAGGGTCGGGGAGATACCCTGCTCCAAATTTACTGGAGCCGATCCCCAGGCCAGGAATATTTCTGCTGCCCAAATAACATGGGCTCATATAAGTCACTCCCCACACTTGCAGCAGGTGCTTTATAGGACCATTGCAGGCAATGGTAGAAATGAATTGGGTCCTGACTTTGTAACGAGAGGCCTGTACTCTTATTGGGCTCTACATTCAGATGAAACACTATGAGATGGGCCTCTACAAGGATACAATGTCTGTTCATAGAGTTCTTACTGCAGTATCGAGCCATATATAAAATACAATATAATAAAATACAATATAATAAATATGTTCATATAATTATAGCCTATGTACAATAATTAGAATGGGTTAAAAAAAACAACAAAGATTGTCACATAATTCAATATCGCACATAAAGTACGAACAGTTTAACAAATTATTAGCTACAATTTCCTTCCTAATTGTTTTGTATTTGGCTGCCAGCCCCAGTAATTTAATTCAATATTGCTTCCAATTGTGTCTGATGTGACTGGAGACACTGCAGTTCCATGTATTTAGCCTTTAATGGCAACCCATAGGTGTACTTGTATTACAGATCCCTCCATGTCCCTTCTTCCAGGTCTGATCCTTAGAGGCTACAAATCTGCTCCAGCTTCACCTGGAAAGCCTTGGAGTGTTAGTTCAAGCCATAGCAGCTCTTGCTTTCAGCCCTAGCGATTCCTGGTTCAAAGGCAGGTGTCACACCCTTATATTGTTTTTGCGGAGGCTGCCTAAGTCATTCCTCTTCCTCCACTCAAATGTAATCCTGGTAGACAAGAATATATTACAGTGAACACTGACAGGTGGATGTCAGTACTTGAGAAAGGGAGCAAACTGTCCTTTATTTTGGGGCACGGATTTTTTTTAAGAGGTTTCTTAAAAAGAAGTTTCTTCTTTTTCAAAATACTTTCCTCTGTTTTTGTTTCTTCACAAGGATCTGGGGACAGGGGCAGCATATCAACATAGCAACAGTAGAGCCAACTGAACTGTTGCAGCTGCCACCCTTGTCCTTGTTCTCTAAACTAGAACTGCAACGGTGCAGACTGACACAACAGTGGCTTACGCCACGTTTAGCTTTTCTCAGGGTAAGTCTAGACTACAGAGTTTTGTCGACAGAAGTTTTGTCGACAGTATCTGTCGATAAAACTTCTGTCGACAAAGAGCGTCTAGACACATTCAGTTCTGTCGACAAAGCAAGCTGCTTTGTCGACAAAACCCTGTAGTCTAGACACAACCCTACATGCAATAACACCTTCTGTCGACAGAACTCTGTCGACAAAAGGTGTTATGACTCGTAAAATGAGGTTTACCAGCGTCGACAAAACTGCTGAGTCCTGTCGACGTTATGTCGACAGAACTCAGCGGTAGTGTAGACGCAGGTATAGTTTTGTCAACAAAAGTCCACTTTTGTCGACAAAACTCTGTAGTCTAGACACACCCTCAGTGCAGTATCAACAATGGCTGAACATCCCTGTATGTTTGGTGTGTGTGTGACTGGAATCATAAGGATTTTCCAAAACCACCGTTCTCTAGCACAGACAAGCAAAGACATATAAAGCTCCCTTGACTCAGGTCAATGTTAGGGAGAATTCAGAGCACTCCAAGTCTCACAGAAATAGCACTTTGCAGGATTACGCCCATAGTTCCTGTTCACAGTAATTACAGCAACATCTTAATAATATCATAGTTATAAAAGAAGGAAATAATAGTCCATTGGTTACTGCATTTTCCCCTCCCATTTTCTGTCTTGTCTACTCAAGTCTTGAGGCCACGGACTGTATTTATCCATCGCCTAGCACAACAAGGCTGTGAACAAAGCAAATACTAAATTTAATACAAGTTGTTAGTACACTTAGTAGTAACAGTGGTAGCAGACATATCAATAATATGTCCCTTAAACAGGGTATTTAAACAAAGAACTGTGACCATTCCAAAGCAATAATGTCTCAATAATCTACTAATCAGGGGTTTAATGATTAATTAAGAGTGAAATTCACTCTTGTGCTGAGTGCCAACACACTGCACATATAAATCCCTCTTAAATCCTATTAAGGGTTTAAGGGCTTAGTGGGGCTTAAGTGATGCACCCTGCTCTCAAATTTCACTTTAGGTGCCAGCGTAACCAAAGTTGTGATGTTAGCAATGGCAGAGATAATTAATCAATAGCTCAACAGGCAGTGTGCTACACAGATACGACATAGAGCAGTCCTGTGGCACTTCACGGTATCTCTAGACTACATCCCTCTGTTACCAGAGGGATGTAAATTAGACATACCGAAATTGCTAATGAAGCGGGATTTACAGGATTGGTCAGAAAAGGCTTTCCTTGTCGACCAATCCCCTTCTAGATTGCCGCTTTTTGCCAGCAAATTGCCGTGTTGGCAAAAAGCGGCGGCCATTTTTATTCTAAATCCCCGCTTCATTAGCAATTTTGGTATGTCTAATTTACGTCCCTCTGGCGACAGAGGGATGTAGTCTAAACATACCCTCAGAGACTAACACATTGATTAGATAATGAGCTTTTGTGGATAGCCATAAGCATCTATGGTGTAGTGTGATGGAGAAGAGTTAAAGGCAAGGCCCTTTCAACTGTCTGAGAAGTATAGGAATCTACTTACTAATTACAATGGATTAAAGTATGTAAAATATAGCTACCATTCACATGAATATGCATGTGTGTATATATATATATATATCATATATATAACTACTCTAACTTTTGGGGGCAGGGCTATAAAAATGAATGAGCTTCACAATATTTTTACTGCTTTCCCCTAACCTAAAGGCCGTATCTGCCTTAGAATCAAAACTAAATATTTAAGCACTATTGTTTTTCTAACTGGTTTCACTAAAATATGTATCTTAGAAATGAAATCAGTTTCAATATTTGCCAGAAATATTTAATAAGCTACAAGATAGGAAAATATAGTATTAAAATAGTAAAAAGTTTGATTCTTTACAGTTAATTTTTTTTTAAATCTAATTGGGACCAACTGCCTCATTGCTTCTTATAAACTTTGCAATATATATTCTGAAAAAGAAATAAAAATGACCAGATGTTTCTCCTTAAAGAAGTCAGACAAAGATTTTTCTTACACAATAAATCAGCTGCTAGTGACTTTCCAGGACACTGCTCCAGGCAAACTGTTTAGATATAGCTTAAAAACCTGATTTACCTCTGTATGGATCCAAAACTGGTAAAGGAGATTAAACTGGAGATGAACAGCATATACTGATGGAGGAATAAAAAGAGCCATTGGCAAGTAGAAAATCTGAAATACGAGAAAGGAAATATACACATGTTTATGGTTCAAAATTGTTCAGCTATTATAAATACTCTCAAAGGAGTTTACAAATATTAAATGAAACTTACAACACCTCTGTCAGATGGGTATTATAGAAAAATAATAGATAGCAATAAATATTATATTAAATTTTGCTATTAACAGTAGTAAAGTGAGAGACAAAAAGATTATATAAATGACTTGTCAATGGTCACACAATAAGCAAATGGCAATGTCACGAAGAGATTGCAGAAATTCTGACTCCCATATTCCTTTTGTGATGATTTGACAATACTCCTATAAGTATATATTTGACATTAAGTACTACATTTTCCTGCTTCTAATGATGGTAAAGATGTGCTATAACTAAACAACTACCACATTTTTAGTATTTGCTGATCTTAACTACCTCACTCTCTTATCACACTGCCACAAATTTAACTTACCTATCTAGGCAAGATAATACATGGAAAATAAGTCATATTAATTTTCACAATTAGATGTTCTAATGGCTCTTTAAACAATGTCATCAAGAGAGAACTCTGGGACATTCACACATAAAAAATAGGTCATAGTCTCCATTCCTTGCAAATAGGAAGTATGTCATTGATTTTGTTTCACTGGACATGGGATGAAACAACAGCCACATGGAGTAATAAGTCCTCATTAGGAAGAGAAGTTTTTCTAGACAAAAACAAAAAACAAAACAAAACAATCCAGGAGATATATCTCAGGGAAATGGGAGAATGGGTAAGCGCACAAATACGACTTTTGGTAGCAAGACATAAAGGCTCCCTAATTTAGCTTCCAAAATCAAATGACTTGATTGAGTATATCTGGGGGTACATCTAGACTACAGAGCTTTTCCAGTATCCCGGAAAAACTCTGCCGCATCCAAGGAATGCATCCACTTTTCCAAAAAAAAAGTCAGAAAAGTGGATGCATTTTGTCAGCATCCCTGTTAACCTCGTTTCATGAGAAAGAAGGGATATTACAAAATAGGGGTTTTTTTCCAACCTTTGGCCCCATGTAGATGGGCCAAATGTTGGAAAAGCCTCTTTCGGAAGAAAAGGAGAAAAAGATACGCAAATTGCCAGTCACAAGTTGTGTATCTTTTTCCAACTTTTCTTTGTACTGTAGACATAGCCTGGGGGACAGAGGAGTCACCCTATCACTTTCCACTAAGGAAGTAAGAGGACAGTGATTTTGCTTCATGAAAAAAAGGTCTCAGTCAGGCTTGGCTGGAAATGCTAGAGAGAACTTTGGGTGAAATAAGTTTCTTTAGACAAGACGGTAATGTGTTAGTTAAGTTTAGTATCTAGAAAGTGTGTTGTGAATTTGTTTTGTATTTCTCTGGAAATAATTTTATTCTTGATGATTGAATATAGCTAGGTGCTGTGGTTTAAAAATAAAATAATAGTCCTGAGTTGAATCTTGCAAGCTGGTGTGTGCCATTCTTTTGGGAACTGCAGGCACCTGGTAATTTTGAGAGTGCTCAGAGGAGGGGCTAATTATTACAGGGAATGCTCCAAGTATTCAAGGCCTGGTTTTTGCCTATAATTACCTGTATACAGAGAATGAAGCCAGAGGAAGCTTAGAAAGTGGTGCCTGTGATGCTAAAGGCTGGGAAATTCAGGGAACTGATCCACAGAAGGCACTGACAAGATGGTTTCACACAAAGGACAGGCAGTGGTAAGATGCCTCACAATGTTGGGCAATATCTAATTGTCCCAATGGTAAATTACCTAACTGTTAAAAATCTGAAACCAAACAACAGTTGGGAGAACAAACTACAAAACCAATGTTGGGTTAAAAGAAGCAGCTGTTATCAGCAGTAAGTATCGTGAACTCAGACTGTCTTGGTACTAGCAAGTTAAAGAAGGCATCCATACAGTATTTAGTAATAATTTCAACAGGAAGGTGATGGGGCAGGTGTTTTGCACATAGTTGACACATTAACCTTCTTCTAAAAGTACAGACTTTCTTGAAATAAAAAGGCCACATCTGATGGTTCTCCACTGCATTATTTCATTGCTCCAAGCAACATAAATGTTCCTACAGGTTGGACCTCCCTGGTCCAGTACGTTTGGAATCTGACAAGTCCTGAACAAGGGAGCTTGTTGAACCTGGGGAGGTCAATTCTGGCCCACAAATAACCCTAGCCACTAGCCCTGCTTGGGCAGCCCCTCCCCCCAAGAAGGCCACGAGCCCCACTGCTGCCCCCCTGGCCAGCCGCCATCCCGGCTGCTGCTGGCCCTGGACCACAGATGTTGCTATATCAGAGAGTCCTGAGTTTTAGAGGTTCAATCTGTACTTCGTTAGTCACTATGTGCAGTCATAAAAGCAGCCTCATGTTATGGTCCTGCATGCCTAAACCATAAAAATGGTTAGAATATCAGGAAACAAGCCAATCTGCAATTTTGTTAAAATCACTCTGATCCTCAGAGGCTGATGTTTTGACAAAAATATTTTATTAAATGAAAATAAAAAGAAAATATTTCATTGTAGAACAGAACAGAAAAAAATCCACAGTTCCACTCTTCGGGTCTTTCTGAACACGAAACCTTGTATATTTGCAAAACACCAGGTGACTTTTCTTCTTCATTGATTTCTTCAGGCTATTTACTTCAAGCACTTTTAAGAACCCATTTTGTTATGAATAAAAAGGAGGACTACAGGAGGCATTTCTATGCAAGAGTTGGATTCCTTGGGCCATATTCTGTAATAATTCACATTTCATGCAAGAGGTTATACAAAGAATAAATCAATGCCAAATTATGACCTTTTATACATGCAACTTCTCAAAAGACACCTTATGCAAAGGTCACAGGAAGAGCAGCATGCAGGCAAGATTTAAGTGAGCCCAGTGCAATGACACTTGTGCAATCTAATACCATTCTAATGACACGTTTAATTATCTCCTTTTGTTTGAAGGTAGCAAGGATAATTTCGAGGTACAGGCAGTCCCCGGGTTACATGGATCCGACTTACATCGGATCCCTACTTACAAATGGGGTGAGGCACCCCTGCCCTAGCTGCTGCCTGCCTGCAGACCAGGGAGACGCGAAGCTAGCGCCCCTCTCCCCCAGCAGACCAGAGAGATGCGGAGCGGCTTTTCTCAGCAGACACCTCAGCTTGAGAATAAAGGACTGAGGGAAGTGAGGTGTGGGAGAATAAAACTGAGCTCTGGAGAAATGTTTGGCTAGAGTTTCCCCTACAATATGTACCAGTTCCGACTTACATACAAATTCAACTTAAGAACAAACCTACAGTCCCTATCTTGTACATAACCCGGGGACTGCCTGTATTTGTGGATGATGTGCAGAGGAATTAAGTCATCGTCATATTTATGAGTCATTATGAGTATATGGATTTCTCTTGTAAGGAATGGGCTGGGGAAAATCTTTATAAAAAACCCTAGATAAATTTAAGATTGATAACACAGCACATTTTCCTAATTGCCTTATGCTTCTCTGCAATTTAAGTTGTATCCAATAATGCAGCAGTTCCCAACTACCAGTCCGCAAGACGCTGGCTGCTGGACCACCGCAGATCTGGGGGCCTTGGCTGGGACACACCACCCAGCGCCTCCCCTCTTGCCACAACTGTTGAGAGAGGTATGTCCTGCCCCACCTCTCAGCCAACCAGCATCGGGCAAGGCCGGGATTTCCTCCCAGCAGAGTGGCAGGAGGGCTGCCCAGAGCCCGACAGGGCCACCTTAGAGCAGCTGTGACCCAAGCAGCAGTGTTCAGATGGTGGTTGGGAGGCAGCACAAAGCTAGGTGAGAGTGGGCGGGGAAGGCACTGCGGGACTCCAGGACCAGAGCTAGTGCTGGGAGGCTCTGGGGTGGGAAGATTCTAATAGGCGAGTGGCTGATGCTGGGGGAGCACTAGGGCATCTGGAGTGGGCAACTGGCACTGGGGGCTCTAGAGGCAGGGCTAATATTGGGGGCTGGGGGCTGAGAGTGGGGGAGACTCTGGGGGAGTTGGGTGCAGTGGGGCTCTGGAAACCCAAGGCTGGCACTGGGGAATCTGGTGCTGGCGGGCTCTAAGGGGTGCAGGGTTATCACTGAGGCATTTGGGATGGGGAGCAGGCACTGGGGGATCTAAGGGCAAGAGGCTGGTACTGGGGGGGTTGGGTGCAGGGGACTCTGGGGTCAGTGACTGGCCCTGGGAGGTAGTGGAGGGATAGGGGCTCTAGGGGTGTACCCCACTCCCAGCCTCCAGAGCCACTGAGAATAACTGCCACATGGCAACTGCTGAAGCTGAAGTCAATTGTTCGCAGTGGTTCTGTGGGCCGGGGCTTTTGGCATTCTGGTAACATTTTATTTGCATAATGAATATGCAAATATGCAAATAAAATATTACTGGTCTGCCAAAAGTTTGCAAATGGGTTTGCTGGTCCGCTGTATAAAAAAGGTTGGGAATGACTGCAATATGAATGTTTCTGTAAGGTTCATGTGCACAAGTGTTTGATGTGTGGAGGGATGACTACTCTTCCCATACAGAAGAAACAGAGGATTTCATTCCTAAAATCTGTACCAGAGATCCTGGGCCATTTTCTAGGGTCTACTCAGTGCAAGCCTCAAGTCCATCCTCTCAGCCTACACACATAACAAAATTATAAGCATTTGATTCAAAATTCAGGAATATGTTTTCACACCACTTCTTGCACTTAAAGTATGTCTACCTCTCTCTTCATATACAGAATCTGCATATACAGAACCCACTCAACCCAGATTAATATACAGATTTATCTTATAATGTTTAACTTAAACCACATATAGAGTTGGCAGCAGAACAGTCCCACAATCCCACATCATTCACCACAACATTCTCACACGCCTCTTCATATGCGTCAACAAAATGAGATGTCAAGCTGCCTTCAATTGCATATGATCACAAACATCAGATCACGCTTGATTGACAATAACCCTTCACTAGAGTATGTTTAAAGGCAAACACACACACACACACACACACACACACACACACACACACACACACACACACACAGGGTTCTTCATCATGCAGGCAGTTCAGAAAATGGTAGCTTTTTAAGAATTAGCATGGGGTTCCTAGAACATGGGTATTTACAAAATTTGTGTTCAAGTCATGACTATGCTTTAGAGAGAATTTTCATCCATCCTCTTGCAATTCCAACTACAAGACAAACACATTAAATCTCTATTTTCCTTTGTCAGATGAGAACATAATGCACACCATGATGTTAGCTAGTTCTAGTCTAATATATGTAACATTTTAAATCATGTGCATCATGGGGATACCCAAGTGCCTGCCAGCAGTGCCTTAAGCAACTTAATGCTTTTTTCACTTAGGGCACGCTAGACTACATTTTACTTTCGAAAGAAGATATGCAAATTCGGCAGGAATTTGCATATCTTCTTCTGATAACTTTTTTGAAAGATTTTTTTTTTGGAAAAAGCAAGCAGTCTAGATGTGGTTCTTTCAGGGAAAAAAAAACCTTTTTTCTAAAGAACTTTCTTCCTCAAAAATTGAGGCTTACAGGTTCTTTCAAAAAAAGGGTTTACAGGTTCTTTAAAAAAAAAGGGATTTTTTTTTCAAAAGAACCACATCAAGACTGCTTGCTTTTTAAAAAAAAACTAATTCAAAAAAGCAATTGGGAGAAGATATGCAAATTCCCACCGAATTTGCATATCTTCTTTCGAAAGTAAAACATAGTCTAGACGTGCCCTCGTTGTTTGTTCTCCCATCCTCCACCCAGAGGAAGAAGCCTGCATAGCAATTGAGTGTCTTGCTTTTGGTAGGGTTTAGGGTTGCTGTGTGTTTAAGTAAAAGAAGGAAGCTACCCCTGTCAGTGAGTAGCGGGGGTAGAGGGACACAGTCCCTTCTACTCCACTGCATCCCAGCCCAGGGTCCTAACAGTATCAAAGAGGGTCATCTGAAGAAGTGGGCTGTGCCAAAGAAAGCTCATGATACTATCTACATGTTTTGTTAGTGCTTAAAGTGCTACCAGACTATTTGTTGTTTTTTAAGTATCAAAGTGGTCTGCTACTGGATCAGTGGAGAAATCCAACTGCAACACATTGACTAGCTTGCACACAGTCACTCCACTGAAATCTATTCCATTTCCCTTGGGGTTCCTTCCTACCCTCCTCATTCTGATGTATCTGAGCTCCACAGTTGTCATTGGTCTTGCTTGTGTAGATGACAAGCAGCTGTCCCAACAGTTCTTCGGGATCTAGCAGTTCTGTCAGTTCTGCAGGTCCAGAGCACCAAAGTAGTTCCTGATAAGTTTGAGCTGCAACAGCAGAGAGGAGACCTCCTGCTCTTTTGTCAGCTCTTCCCTAACTTAACTAGAGGGATGGGGTTTTTTTATAGCACCATTTCCTGTTCCTGTTCCACTCCTCTGCTTCCAGCAAGTAGCTTCAGATAGCCTGGTTCTGCCCACCGGAGAGCAATTACATCTCCCTTTTCATCTGTCATGGTGGGAGACTACACCACTTTGCTACAAGTTGGAAGGAAATATTGAGGGTTGGGGGGGGAGTCCGCAAGGACCAGTTCTGGGTTTGGATTTATTCAATATCTTCATAAACAATTTATATAATCACATGAAGAGTTCACTTTTGCAATTGCAAAGTATTACACTTAGGAAGCAATAATCAATTTCACAAATACAGAATAGGAAATAATTGCCTAGGAAGCAATGCATAAAAGCATCTGGGGGTTATAGTGGGTCACAAACTAAGCATGAGTAAAAAAAAGTGATACTATTGCAAACAACACAACCATCATCTAAGACATATTAGCAGGGGTACTGTAAGCAAGATGTGAGAAAAAATTCTTCCACTCTACTGAGCACTGATAAGAGCTCAAGCAGAATACTGTGCACTACACTTCAGGAGAGATGTAGACAAAATGAAGAAAGTCTAGAGGAGAGCAATAAAAAAGATTAAAGATATAGAAAGCAAGATCTATGAGGAAAAATTGACAAAAACTGGGCTTGTTTAGATTTTGTGTCAGGGCACATTAACAGTCTTCAAGTACATAAATGGTTGTTACAAAGAGGAGGGCAATATACTGTTCTCCTTAACCACTGAGGGTAGGACAAGAAGTCACAGGCTTATATTGATTCAGGGAGACTTAGAGGGTTGCCATATGATTTAACCAAAAATATCACCACCACCCTCCAAAAAAAAACCACAGGGGAAAAAATTCTGTTGAGAAAACAAAAGGGGGATACCAAAGTTGTTGAGCAAAAAAAAAAGGGGGGGCGGGCCCGAGAGTTAAGCAAAGAAAATAAAAAAATAAATTAAAAATAAGCGTGGCCCTTTTAAGACATGCTTCTGAGGCTTTTTGGCCCTAACAGGCTGCCAGCGGCCATCTGCCATCTTGTCTCCCTGCTCCGGTCCAGACAGCTCCCCTGCAGAACCAGGAAGGCACCCTGGTATTTTCACCTCCTGGCCAGGAAAAAAAATCAGAAAATACCAGACATTTTAGGTGCCCGGTATTTTCTGAATTTTTTTACCAGACAGGAGGCGAAAATACTGGCATGTCCAGGTCAATACCGGACACCTGGCAACCCTAGAGACTTAGATTAGACATTAGGAAGAAATTCCTAACTGTAATGGTAACTGCAACAAATTACCTAGGGAGGGTGTAGAATTTCCATCTCTGAAGGTTTTTAATAACGGGTTAGATAAACACCATTCTGGGAGGGCCTAGATAATACTGATGCCTCACTGCAGGGACTCACCAGATGACCTGTCACTGTCCCTTTCAGTCCTATATTTCTTTGGTTCTATGAAATTCTTTCACAAAATCCACGGGTAAGCCCTGGTAACAATTTATATTTGACATGCAGAGTGATCACCATTCCGAAATTCAATTTCCTTCAGTTGCTTTAGGGAATACTGTAGGCACTAGGGTAATGCTTACCAACATTTGGGTATGAATAATTAATGGAAACACACACACACACACACACACACACACACACACACGCATCCCATCCTGTCCTTACAGAAGCAATTCTCTGACTGACTGAAGTTATGCCTTCATTAACCCCAGCATAGATCCACATATTATGTTCATTGCTGTTATTCTGTGTCTGTGCTGACATAACAAAGAGGAATATGTCCCATTATGTTTTAAAAAATGATGACTGTGTGAAAACCTGGGACTGTAATTGGCTTCCTCCAAGTTGACTTTATTTCCTCTTTTTCACACATTTCAATTAAAGTGTGAGCATACCTGTTTCCTATTCACATAATTCTCAGGATGCCTCAAATTACCTTTCTGCACTGTGCTTTGTGTGTACCATTTTCTGTGACTTTTATTTTGGTTTCCTTCAGACAAAATGAAATACCTCAGTGATTTTTAATAAAGTTCAATTATATAATTGCATTTTGCAAAACTTACCCAAGAAGCATATCTCTGTAGTGCAGATTGTCTCAGTGCAGTGGATAAGTTATAAGCTTCAGAACTGTGATGTGTTTGGTGTGCTGCCCATAATATATTAACCTCTGCAAAATACATAATTTCTAATGAGGCATGAAAGTAATAACAAATCAGCATTTGTCTCCCATGATAGTTTTTTAAATCTGAAAGCAACTAATTCCAAAATTTACATTTTGCTCTTTTATTGCAATATGGCAGGTAATAAAAACTAACTAGCAGAGTTGAATTCAGAGGTAATGGAGAGAGTGGTGTAGGCTCACACTTTAGTAAGTGGACACAAGTGGTTGTAATCTACATGCTGATCAAGCAGAAGAATGGTGTTACAAAAAAAAGTAAAGCTATCAATGAAAGGGTTTAAGAAAACGTGAGATGAAGGGTCAGTTCAAGGCAGCCTTGTTTAAATTCTACTTTCTCCAGGAATTTTGTCATTGACTTCAAATTTGGTGTCCATTAATTTGTTTGCATTTATGTGCTCAAGTACTATACTTTTTGGATTTCCTTCAGACTTGGTTACTGACAAAGTTTTAGTGCTTGATTAGTAAAGAAATAATTTAAATAGTAGCTGTTAAAAGGCTTTCTGGGATGCCTTCAAAGCCTGCTTGGAAACTCACACCACAAGGATATCACCAATGTCTGCCTACTAACAAGAAATGGAAAAACAAATCAGATATTACTGCCTAGGAACCTTGGTTGGATTCAGTCAAAGGACAGTGACTAGGGTGAGGTTTGGGTGAGGCTGTCGGCTATGTGCCCCAAAAGTAGGACACTTTTGATTTGCTGAATGTATCAGAGCAATAAAGTTTACCAGAGCATTTTTTTAAAAAATTAAGAACCACTCTAGGTGGCCTTATCATGAACTTTGAAAATCTAAAGATGTTTGGACAATACTGAGTGGAAGATTATCATGCAGAAAGGAAAGCCAAAATCTTTTACGGCTATCAGATGAACAGCAGGAGACTGTGAGGAAAGTGTTAATTACACTATGAGAAGGTGGGTCATTAATGTAGCCTTGTAAGATGCTTTTTTAGCTTGCAACTATATTAAAGGTCACATATATTTAAGGGGGAGGAGGTGAAATTTGCATGCAGTTTGAGATGATGCAGAATTCTACTTATTGGTTGACAGCCAGTTAAAGCCTTCCCACTAATGACAATGTTTCACTGGAACAATTAGGGAACTGCCTTTGGCAGATATTGGGATCCCATCCACAAGAGTGAGCTTACAAATGTGTACTGAAATGCCTTGAAATTATCTAGTGCCAAAACTATGTCAAATGGTTCAGGACAGATGATTGGCACATAACTGTAAAGTAAACAGATGTCATATAAAATACCTCAAAGAATCTCAAGGTGTCTTCATCATTTCAAGGGACTAGAGAAATAAAAGGATGCCTAGTGTGCTAGAAAGAAGAATTTCTGTATCTAATAAACTGTGACATGTTAGTAATTTATGAGGCAACTTCATCATTTCTGTCTGTCTTCCAAGCCTTTGAAAATCCTTATGATAGCTGGCTTGAAACTATAAACTACCTATTGCAAAAAATACTTAACACTCAATATTTATTTCTTAAACATTACTTCTACTAAAGTAACAAGTGTGCAATCTATCTAACATTTGTCTTCTTTTGAGGGTGGGGAGGAACATCTTAATGCATGCTGCCTTAATGAGCCCAAGGAGATGAATTATTCAGGTGAGCTTCAATACTGTGTAATAATTTGTATTCAAAATGCTTCCCAAGACCTCAACAGAAGCTGAGTGAAAAAAGAATCTAAAAAGGTGGAGGTTAAAAACCTGTCTCCTTAGTTGTTTTAAAAGCATTTACTTCCTATCACAAACTGTGTGTAACACAAGCCTTCACTCAATGAAGTACAGCTGTGCAAACAAGGTACAGTAACTGGATCTTCCTTATTTCCCTCAGTCATTTTTCAGCATTGTGAAAAGTTCAAGGAAGGGAATCTGTGATGATTTTTACAGTCTACATTCATTCTAGTTAAGGTCAAATGGTTTTCAAAACTAATTATTAAAATGACATTTTATTAAAAGAGTTTAAAATTTTAAAAGCCTCTTAATTTAATGAGTAGGTTAACTGCATGTTAATAAAATGTTCATTTTCTCAAATGTAAGCCAATTTATTTAGAAGATCAGTTAAAAACACAGGAAAGTGACATTAGAAAAAACAAACAATACTGCCATGAGTAATTCAGTCTAAAAATAGTCTCTCATCCTTATGTTGTACTCTATTAAAGCTTTAATTCAGTTCTCATTGAAGTTAATGGCAAAATTTACCTTCAGTTCACTGGGAGAAAGGGTTACCATGAATATATCCTGATAATATCAGGATCGTCATGATATTAGGGACTTTGTCTTATATACTGTATACAAATAGTCCTGCACATCCCATTCCCACCCACATCTCCAAAAAGTGTCCCAATTTTTCACACTTACCATCTAGTCACCCTATCAAAAGGAAGACAATAATCTGAAATAAATTTTATCTTATTTTAGATGATAAACTGATCACCACTAATATTCATATTATTTTTATTTGAAGCAGTTTACCATTACTGTCCCTGTGTGTATCACAGATACGGGTTTATAGAATTATCCAAAAGATTGAGCAGAGAAATATCATTTTAACAATATTTTTCTTATTTTTTAAGTGCCACATTTAGGAGAAACTTTTACCTACAAAAGAGTAAAAATCTGTCACTTATGCTTTCCCAAACTAAGATAGTGAAATCGGGGGAGATGAGAAATCATGGAAATTATTAGTTCTGTCATATTTTTGAAACATTATTGTTTTGCAATCTGTTTTCATTTTGGGAAATAATGCCAAACAACTTATAGTACATAAGTACAGGCCAAAGGGGAGTTTTGTCTAAGGAGAGCAGGATTTGGTCTCAATTAATTAATTAATTATTAGAAGAAGAATTTTCTGTGTTGTCTGAACTGATGGATGGTATAGAAAGGGGTTGTTCCCTCTAAACGCAGCTTGCTGCTGGCAGGGGGAGAAGACTTTGTATGTTTTCCCTATTCCCAGGACAATCGGGGTCTAGGGAGCACCTGAAGTCTCTCCCCCAACCCTGTCACTTCCCCACTAGGGGGCATGCAGCGCCTAGAAGGAACCATCAGCTATTCTGAACAGCTGGCAGTTCGCTCTAAGTACCACGCACCTCTACCCTACTGTAGAGAGGAGATTTTGTGCGATTCCCCGCCTGCAGGCCAATTGGGACCTGAGGGATGGGGGAGTGCGTGAAGTCATTCACTGTTCAAAATGGTTGGCGGCTTGATCTAGGTATCATGCAACACTAGTGGGGAGGGGGGAGAGCCACCAGTTGCTTTGAACAGGTCTCAACTGGCTTGGGGGCAGTGCAGCAGCAAGGCTGGCTACGGGTTGGATCAAACAGCTTGGCAAGTTGAATCCGGCCCGTGGGCTGCATCTTGCGTACCCCTGGTCTGGTGACACAGCAGGGCTAATGCGGGCTCTCTGCCTGCCCTGGGCCAATATCACTCCTAGAAGCAGCTGCCAACTGCTTCCAGGAGCGACATGTCCCTCCCTGTGTCACCAGGAAGGGGGGGCGGGGGGTGTGTCTCCTTATGCTGCCCCTGCCCTGAATGACGACTCTGCATCTCTCACTGGCTAGGAACTGTAGCCAATAGAAGCTGTGGGGACAATGTCTGCAGGTAGGGTCAACACAAAGAGCCATCAGTCCTCCCCCACCTGCAGGCTGCAGGGAGGGAAGTGCTGTCCAGTTCCAGGAGCAGCGCCTGGACAAGGCAGGCAGGGAATCTATCTTAGCCCCACTGTGCCACCAGATTTTTTAGCAGCTGATCTCCTGGTTTGGCTTCAGAGGAGTCCAGGAGACCAAACCTGATTCCAGGTGACTTCCGATGAAACCAGAAGGGTTATCAACTCTAGTCGTCCCAGGCTCTGAGCCTCACTGCTATGGGCTTTAAAATTCTATGTAGATATACTCTAGTTCATCTGTGCTGGAATTATTTTCCTCATGTCTTGTAAATTGTTATTAAATGAATAACAGCACTAAAATGCCCTATTCACTAAGGACCTCCACATCCTTCCTACCCCACAAATTTTATTCCCACAAGGCCAAATTCTTCCCTCAGTTACACCACTGCAACCATAGGTCTGTACAAGTTTAAATAAGAGCAGGATTTGACATAAGGAATTTATGTGGTAGAGGGTATTATGTGCCACACTCAAAGCATTATATATATATTATATCTTCTCACTGAATGCTAGCCTTCATACCACTACATTAGTCTGGGGGAAGATAGGAATGCAGAAGGACATGGCCTTTAATCTGATTATTTCTCTTAAATCAGACATTTTTTCTTACTCATAGACTTAGTTTAATATTCTTAACATGTTTGTGTTTAAGTCATTTAACATTAATATTGTGTTTAAATCAAAACCTAGGCATACAGACTCTTGAGTTCTAATTCTTGCTCTTCCACTGAACCACTGTGTTGCCTCAAGCAAATCATTTAACCTCCCTCCCTTTAGGTACCTGTAACAGCGTTTACAAACCCCATACTGGGCACAGGTAGAAGAGACTCTTCCTTGCATACCAGCAGTCAGGTTGACCACACCCCCTGCAGAGCTGCCAGAACTACCATACATGGCCCTGGTCTACACCAGGATTTTATTTCAAAATAACCCCTCCTCGCCCGGTCGAATTTATGAGCAGAGTGTCCACACTACCAAGCCTGCTATTTCGAAATAATGGGCCATGGAATTTGAAATCTGTATATCTGCTTTTCATCAGGAATAATGCTAATTCCAAAATAGTTATTTCGAAACAAAAGTAATCTGGACGTTCTGGTGCTGCTAATTACTTCCCAGAGTAATTCAAAGTAATTACTCCCCAGTGCTTCCTGGGGCTCTAAGTCTGAGGTTGCGCATCCACATTACTGCGTCTGCCTCGGACTAATTTCGAGGCTTCCTCGTAGTGTGGACACGCTAGTTTGAATTTGTTAAATCAAGAGTTATTAAATTGAATTTAGTAATTTCAGAATATTTTCCTAGTGCAGACATGGCCATGGA